CATTACTGGGTTCAACTAATTCGGCTAATTGGGATAAAAGTTCGTCAGCTTCTTCTGGGGATAAAAAGTCTAAGTCTTGATCCGAACAGGGGTTGGCAAATAATGAATCTATGTCAAAATCGTCTTCTTCAAGAGCGTTTATTTCCATTCGCGAAAGTGCGTCTGCTACGTGATTTTCTTTACCTTTTATGTGTTTAATTTCAAAATTATATTCAGAAAGTTTAATTTTCCAGCGGGCTAGTCTGCTGTTTGGTTCTTTTAGGTTTTGTAACCAAACTAAAGGCATATGATCAGTATAAAGGGTGAATTTTCTACCGTAGATGTAGGGCCTAAAATGTTTACAAGATTCTACTACAGCCAATAATTCTTTCTCTGTAGTACTGTAATTTCTTTCAGCCGTGTTAAGTGTACGAGAGTAAAAAGCAATGGGGTGTCCTTCTTGGGAAATTACGGAACCTATCGCCTTATCGCTAGCGTCAGTGGTAATAGAAAAATGTTTATTAAAATCTGGATAAGCTAAAACAGGAGCGTTTGTAATTAATTCTTTAATTTTGTTGATAGCCTCCAAATACGAGGGATCTTTAACATTAATTGATGTATTTTTCTTTAGACATCGCGTAAGGGGAATGACAATTTTGGAATAATTTTTTATAAATTTTCTGTAATAGTTGCTTTAAGTTCTTTTACAGTTTTGGGTACTGGAAATTTGTTAGTGGAAGTAATTTTGTCGGGATTTATTTTTATTCTTTCGGTGGTGATTACGTGTCCTAAAAAGGGAACTTTTCTTAAAAATTCAGATTTGTTTAAAGATACTTAGAGAAATTTACGTCTTTTAATCTATGAAAAACTTGCTTTAGATGTATTATATGTTCATGCGGTGATTTTGAAAATATTACAATGTCCATGTAAACAAAAGCAAATTTGTAGAAGAAGTGTCGTAGTACATTGTTCAACATTTTGAGTTTTTAAGTCCAAACGGCATGCGTACTCGTAATGACCGTTGACTACGGAAAAAACAGTTTTTCAGTACTGTTTTTGTGGAGAGGGATTTGTAAAAAGCCGGAAGTTGATTCTAGAGTAGAGTAATAATGAGTCTAAAACATCTTCGTTTCTTTGTAAAGGGTATTTGTCTTCTATTGTCGTTTTTTCGCGAAAAACGAAAACCATGCGCCATTTGTTTTTTCCTGAAGCATCCATAATTTTTGGAACTATCCAAACAAGCATAACGAGAAATGGAGTGCTTCATTACACGGTCATCGAGCAATTTTTTGACTTGCTTCTTTTGAATTTCATCTTTTAGTTTTTGCGGATAACGGAGATTTTTCTGGTAAACGGCAGAATCGTCAATTGTCCTGATGTGAAGCGTTACTTGTGTTGTCGCGATTAATTTTTGTTGATCGTCGCTAAAAATTGAATTAAATTCTTTACAGGGTTTTGTAATTTTATTTTTTTCTTCTGTGTTCTTATGATGTAATCTTAGTTATTTAATTACGTTGCAATTTAAAATGTCATCGTTTGGGACTTTGTCTAAGTAAATGTATTTATCAAGGGTATCTACATCCATAGTCTCACTAATGTGAATATTACTGATACATTGTAAATCAGCAAAACCGTTATCTACATTGAAGATAGTTGATACAATTTTTTCATGGTCAAGTATAACACAAGATTCTTTGTGTAAATTAACTGGTATTTTACAACTGGTATTTGTTAAAATTTTATCTCGTCTCTCATGGATATGGATTTGTGTGTGTTTGGTAGTCAAAGTATTGTTGGAATAATTTATAATTGCATTCTTTTTAGTCAAGTCAGCATGACTAATTAATGCGTCTAATGTTGTATGAAAATCAAAAACAGAAAATTCAATGTTGGTTCGGTTCGTTACTTAAGTAATATAATATTGTGTCATCTGCAAACATATGGATTTTGCTTAAATTAGTGGTTTCCACAATGTCATTGATGTACAATATGAATAGCAGTGGTCGAATTATACTACCTTGAGGTACGCCATAATCAATACTTTTATTTGTTGAAATAAGATCACCACACTTAACATTTTGCTGCCTACCTGTTAGATAATTTTCCAATCATCATAAAACCATGCATTTTATGTTGTATTTTGCCAATTTTTTTAATAATATCTCCCTGTCAATCGTTTCGAAAGCTCTCTTTAAGTCTAAGTAGACAATAATTGTGTTGTGTTTATTATCACATTGTTTTTGCCATTCATGCAATACATATTTAAATGCAGTTCCACAGTTGTACCCTCTTCTAAAATCGGATTGATACGTGGAAAGGATATTAGCTTCTTCTATATATTCTACTAACTGACCCGGCCACGTGTTGCTGTGGCTAACGTTTTTGTCATATTACATTGTTGTAAACTATTTAAGGGGAACGGTAGGAGAACATCAGATATGGGCACCACCATGCTTTTTTACATAGATGCCATTTGTAAAAAACCATGGCGACCTTCATGACTGATTTTCTACCAACGTTACCCCTTATTACAATGAAATTATTATTTACGAACGGAGGCGGAAACGTTAAAGCTGGTATAAAAATTTACTTGTTTGGGATTTGAAGGGGAAGGACTTTGAACACAATTGATCAAAATTTTCGTACAGTTGATGTAAAGCAAAAAACAATACAGAAGAATTAAATTTAAAATTTATTTGCCGTTTAAATCTNATAAAAATTTACTTGTTTGGGATTTGAAGGGGAAGGACTTTGAACACAATTGATCAAAATTTTCGTACAGTTGATGTAAAGCAGAAAACAATACAGAAGAATTAAATTTAAAATTTATTTGCCGTTTAAATCTTGCATAGTTCTATGCAATGCTTCGAGTGAATATTTGTGAGCCATTGTGCACTCATCCCAAATTATAATTGAACTCTTCCGCAACACTGCAGCTATTCCGCTATTCTTTTTTATGTTAATTTTACATTTGGTTTATTATGAATGTCCAATGCCAGCTTGAATGTTGAATGTGCCGTTCGCCCACCATCTAGCAAAGTAGCCGCAATGCCTGACGATGCAACTGCCAATGCAATTTTCTGTTGTGACTGTATTTTGGCAAGAATCAACGATATTAAAAATGTCTTACCGGTTCCACCTGGTGCGTCCAAGAAAAAACAAACCGCCTTGTTAAGCAGCACAATCCGATCATAAATAATTTTTTGTTCTGCTGTCAGTAATGGCTCGCTGTTCGCGATAATTGTTGCTAAATTACCATGGTCATATTGTTTTTCTCATTGTAAATCGGTGTTGACTAAGTCGGTGGGCGATCAGGTGATGGCATATCATAACGATGAAGTGGTAAATTTGAAATTAGTTAGAAATGAGTTTGTGCTTGCGATGGATAACATGTCGTCAAAATAATTGCAAACAGCTGACGAATGTTATTGGGCGTTGATGTCAATGCGGCATCAGCAAGCGTTAAGTCCCAATGGTTATCGTCTTCTAGTAATTGCAGTTTACGACATGCATCTTGGTATGTATTGAATACTCGACCTTTAACTGTGCGCAGAAATTCAAAAGACGTTGGTCCTGGAACATTCACCAATAATAAACGTAAATAGAAGCACTCACGTTGCTTTGGATGTAAGGTGTATGACCCAAATAGGGCCTACCTTAATTTTTTTATTAACTAACTAGCGGGTTTATAATAACAATTCACTGGTAATTTGAAATAGTGATATTTATTTATTAAACTTTGTAATGAATGAAACAAAATTGCTTTAAAAATAAAAATCACACTTTCGTGAACACAAATAACTAAAATGCCACTTTGGCCTTATTGGGAACCCTGTGACTTAATAAAGCCTTAATAAAAACAAGTAAACATTCAACTTTTTACTGAATACAAACCGTTTTCAATACTTACTAATTAAATCTAATGAGATCCCATTAATTATTTTTCATCATTTTAGATCAAATCTTTTTTTTTTAGACAATCTCCTGAACAGTAAAATATTTTATCAGCGGGTGTGAGTCCAACACACACCTCATGATACCAAACGCCACAAGTAAGACATTGTCGCATATCATCAACTCGATCTTCTTTACAAGCTGGACAGTACCAAGAAGGTTTATTATCGTGACGTTTTAGTTTAGATTCCGTAAGCTTATCTGCTGTCAAAGAAGCAGTCTTTACTGAGGTTCGGTTTCGCGTTGCAATAACTGACGCTGATTTTGGCGTCCTTGTATTAATCTTTATCATGGATGAAGTACCAGGAACATCTTCTACTCTTGACGATGGTACAGTAATCTGTGATGTGGAATTCGTAGCACTGTCACCAAACAAAACTTTTGTTACCTCTTGAGCCCTGTAATTCAGAGACTTCTTGCGTGGAGCAGTCGCTACAACTTTAAACTTAGGAGTTAGTTAAAATTCATGAATCTCACACGTCTTCTGTGGAGTCACAGCATTCGGATTGTTTGATAAGAGCAAGGTCAGTGGCAAATTCTCACTATCTGTGCCTGACCGATCTGAATCTTCCACATTTGCAGTTGAAATCTCATGTTCACCCGATTCATCAGATAGGACAGCAATATTGTCACTGTTTGTAGGATTTCGAAATTCTGATAACGCAGAGGGCGCAAACGCCTCTTCAAGAATAGCATCTGGGTTATATGGATATAACCCTGTAGCGCGAAACCCATTGGAGATATTGGTAATAGTCATACATTTCGGCCATACTTGTGAGAGAATGACATTGAAGCTTGTCTTGTTAAGGGTTCGTTCAGGATGCTGACTGACGTATTTAATNGTGGAGCAGTCGCTACAACTTTAAACTTAGGAGTTAGTTAAAATTCATGAATCTCACACGTCTTCTGTGGAGTCACAGCATTCGGATTGTTTGATAAGAGCAAGGTCAGTGGCAAATTCTCACTATCTGTGCCTGACCCATCTGAATCTTCCACATTTGCAGTTGAAATCTCATGTTCACCCGATTCATCAGATAGGACAGCAATATTGTCACTGTTTGTAGGATTTCGAAATTCTGATAACGCACAGGGCGCAAACGCCTCTTCAAGAATAGCATCTGGGTTATATGGATATAACCCTGTACCGCGAAACCCATTGGAGATATTGGTAATAGTCATACATTTCGGCCATACTTGTGAGAGAATGACATTGAAGCTTGTCTTATTAAGGGTTCGTTCGGGATGCTGACTGACGTATTTAATCAACTCTTGGTTCCAATGGTGCTCAAAAGAACGATAAACAGATTTATCCATAGGCTGTAACTCGTGCGTGGTATTCGACGGAAGACAGTACAAAGTAATGCCACATTTCTCAGCTTCCTCGACAATAGTAAAGTCCAGGTGGTATTTTGCACCATCAAATATGAGGAGACATGACCCTGATGTTCTGTATTTATGCAAATGATTAATAAACTCTATGAAAGTTTCTGTCGTCATGCTTCCTTTTGGCGTCATCTTCACCAGAGAGCCTGGAGGTAAATTGTCTTGGAATTCTGGCTTTAGTCTCTTGCCTTTGAACAATATCATAGGCGGAATAACTGATCCTATAGCATTTCCGCAGCCTACCACAGTCACACTTTCAGCATGCTCATTCGCTATTTGATGAACTCTTTTTCTCCCTTTGGCTATCAGAACTTCCTGCTGATGGTGCAAAGATATGCGACAATTTTTTTTATCGATGTTGTAAATGCTTTCAGGTTTATGTTCAATTCCAAGTCTATCCAGCACACTTTTGTATTTGGAAAAGTGATCGCTAACAATATCTTTATTTAATTTTTGAGCACGAGCTGAATTCATAATCTGTGCTTTACGACGTGCTAATTCAGGGTGTCGTTTGAGAAATAACCTCAACCATTTTTTCCCCGCGGCGTTTTTGGCATCATTGAAAGTGTTTGGAATTTTCTTAATTTTACAGAATGAAAAAGCCTGTATGCGCAACATCTTTGATGTCAACGGAACTCCAACATCAGCCAAACGTATGATTCTTCTGACAAGTCCAGCTTCTTGTTCTGTAGTCAATATAGCCGACCGACCTAGCTTTCGTGTAGTCGACTCACTCGCTAGATGGTTGCGTAGCGTTCTTCTTGGGATATTGTATCTGGCTGCAGCAGCATATGTAGATAATTTACCTCTTTGTACCATTTTAACAGCATTTTCCATCTGTTGCGAAGTCCATTGAGCCCTTTTTTTGCTTGTGGTAGAAGCTGGTGATTCGTTTTCCATGGTGTTACTCAAAACAAGGGTTTACTACTTTACTGTGATACTTTTCTAACTGACATAAAACATTGTCCTAATAAGGCCTGTACCTGTGCCGTTATAAGGCCTATACATTTTTTTTGTAGGCTCTATTAGGGCATGGCACATGGGTAAACAAAACAACAATTATATGGAATACACCGATATTACAGCTTTTTCACTTATGTGAGAAGATGGCTACACGTATAATTATCCTATAGACAAAACACAACACACCGTGTACAAATAATAATAAAAATACTTACTCTTTACTCTGCACACATCTACAAACATTGGCGACCATTTGAAATCGTTAAGCGGGAAATTTAGACAATAGGCCTTATTAGGACATAGGCTTTATTTGGGTCACCCACCTTACTGTGTAAAGTCGCCCCAATGTCTTAGCTTTTAATATGCCGGTGATGGAAGGATGTGGTTTTCCTTGTTTTCGTGGTTCCCATTTTTTACCGGATTTGTTCAATATGAAATAACGTGGAACATCAGTATATATCAATGTTTTTGCGAATTGGCCAAAAATAGCAGATTTTTGACACAATGTAAAAAATTCAGTTAGTGTCGTTTTTGGAGCCTCAAGCGCCCTTTGGAGAACATTTTCTTCAGTGAAGTATACACGTTGACCGTTTTCAAGATGTATTGCTAGGTGCTGAACAGAAGGGTCTCTTTCGTGTAATGGAAAGCTAAGAATATGCCAAATAGCTTCGTTGCTGCAAATATACCTACCAATTTGGTATCGTGCTATTTCGTCATTTTTATTCACATTCTGTACTTCAAATATAGCCACATCACTGCCTTTATTTACATATTTACAAATGTACTGAATTGATTTTACAGAACTGCAAAGCTCAACATTGATTTGAGCCTTATAAATTTTTGTAGGTAATGGTGAGTATGGTACCACCCACTGATTATCAAGTTCAACTTGATTTGTAAAATTCGTATTGTGAATGTGTGGCCACCATTCTCAGTATTTCTGCGGCGATACATTGGATAACCGTCAATATCCGTGATAGTGTCATTCGTACGCGGCTTTGGCAAAATTTTCTTACATTTTCCATTTTCCATGCATGGTGACGTCATGTTGAAAGCACCGCACGGCCCGTGGATCATGTGTTTGGTAACAATATCAAATAATTCTTGATCAATTGGTCAATCAAATGGGTCTGGAATTTCGGCTGAAATTATTTGATCAATTTCTTCTGGACGGATTTTATCTTGAAGTCAAATTAAAATGTGGGCATGAGGCAAACCTCGCTTTTGCCACTCAATTGAATACAGCCAACAACGTGTGATACCAAAAACTGAACATTTAACAATAAAATGAATTAAGGATTTCAGTTTTTGTTTAAACACACGTGCAGTTATATCATGATGATGAAATGCTTGTTGTCCCGGTGTTAGTAAAGTTTGTATCTCTTTCCAATTTGGATTACATGTGAGTGTAATAAACAAATCCGGTCGGCCGTAATGACGTACGTAAGTCATGGCATCTTATATGTATTCCTGCATGTTCCGTGGACTGCCGATGTAGCTTGAAGGTAAAATAAAAGCATTACCGATGTCATTGGGGTTTAAATTTCCGTCGATGTTTCTAACAACAGCAACTCGTAAATGAATGTATTTTTCCGATCGTAATTTAGCCTGGTTATATCGAATAAATCGCAAGCGTTCGCTTTCAACCTTAGCATACATATCAACAATGTATTGATGGAATAGCTGAGGATATCGAAGGATATAGTTGTCTTGATTTAGTCTAACCATCAATCGGTGTGCGTAGTAGTTCATAGAACTAAGTTTTTTATTTCCATTAGCACCTAAAAAAAAAAATAAAAAATAAAATGAAATAAGAAATTAAAATTCGTTCATACAGTTAGAAAATAAATAGTTAATAGTCAAATTTACCGGTATTTGGATCGGATTACACTGTTTGTTGTTAAGGTGATATTTATCCTGTCCTTTCCAAAATATTAATGGATATTGTAGTGCGTCATATGAACGATGTAGATCCGAAATCGTACTGACAGTGTTGTCTCGCCGTGTAATTTTTATAGCTCTGTTGTCAGCTGGATCACCAACCATAATAACAGCAACCTCGTCAATAGTTGGATCGTTGAATCTACCAGCATGTTCACCTAATGGTACTTTGTCGGTTTTATAACGATTTGATAATTGTCATTTTGCAATCGTGGCGAAACTCTTTTAAACAATCGAATTAGTTGATTCTGATCTGCTAAAAATGTTTCCAGCAACATCACAATTGCTCTTTCCTCTGCTTGTTCAATGAAATTATACTGGCACCGAGTTGTTACGCGCTCTTCACAATTGCCCATAAAATAAATTTGAAGAAATTTCGGATCATCATCAGGCATTGTCATCAATGATCCGATTTTATGGTACACCTGGCCTTGTATTTTGAATATAGCTTCAAAATTACGTCCATTTTAGTTGTCCCAAATGACGTCATTTGGAAGCAAGAATTAAATTTGCGTATCTTACGCAAAAATAATTTTGAGTCATCTGAATCGCCAGCAAGAAGGGATAATAAAGGTTCCGGCGGAGTGGGTAAAGGTGACAGCACAACTTTTCCCAATGCGCATGCCGGTTGTTTCATTCCGAAATTTCACTGCCTAACAATAGCACTGATAGCAATTTTTGAATGCGCAGAGTAGTTACTATCTGGTGTTTATTCGAAAGCAAGACGAACAAATGATGCACGTGTTAATGAGCGGCTGATCCGCTGCCTCTGTCGTTCTTGTACTCGTGCTGTAGGTATGTTTCGTTCTCGTGCCGCTCGTGTTCTTGTAATAGTCTGTCGCATTCGTTCGTCACGCTGTTCTTGACATTTTTGTGCACGACGCTCTGCTGTCCTGACTCTTTGGGCTGCATTTCTTATTGTGATTTGTTCTGCCGATTGATGAGCTCTTACAACGCGTTTGCGTTGTGCCTCTTTGCTCCTCGCGTTGTTTAGGTTAGATTTTGTCGGTGGCATTCGACTGAAAATAATAATTTAAACGTTGAAATATTGAAAAAACTGAAAAATATGCTATTATAGCGCATTGAACAACATATATAATAATGTAAGTATGTGATAATACTTACATGTATATAGGGTGTCCCAGTTATAATAATTAATATTTATACCACAGATTCCTACGGACATTTGGAACATAAAATGTTATAACACTTTTGACTTTTGAAACAAAATAAAAAATTATAAAATTATAACAGTTTTGATGCCGGCCCTGCACAANCCCGGCCACGCGTTGCTGTGGCTAACGTTTTTGTCATATTACATTGTTGTAAACTATTTAAGAGGAACGGTAGGAGAACATCAGACATGGGCATAATTAAAAAGCAGGAATAATTTCACTGTATTATATTCACTATAATATGAATTTAATTTATACTTCAGTCTAAGTAACACGTGGCCGGCTATGTTAACACCAAAAATTGAAAAAGTAAAATTCACTGTATTTCGTTTACTACAAAATAAATTTAACCTATACTTTAGCCTCAGCAACATGTGGTGGTTATGCTATTAAAATTGTAGCTTATATGAAACGTTTGGAAGTTTGACATAGCGCCATCTATTGAATATTGCGATCATAAATTGAGATGTAAGCTATCCTATCTTTCAAGTTGGATCAAACCGCACACGGTGTACAAATTTGATTAAAATCGGTGAAGTAGTTTTGGGAATCCATCGCGGACAAACAACGTGACACGAAATTTATATATATTAATATGAGTTGTTAGTTAGTTTTTTAATTCAATCTTGTTTCATTGCCGTCCGCATTAGCGTTACCCAATGTTCACCACGCGGAGGTTGATGGATCGGACTTCGCACATCATTTGACCCTGAAAAGGGCCGATTTTTTAAGCATACAAGAGTTAAGCATCCAGTGCATCTTCATCTGTTAAATCAGAGCTATCGGTGTCTGAGAAATCAGACGATTCATTGTCATCAGCTCTCAAATTTATTATTAGGTCGTCAATAACCAGATCAACTGCCGGGTTTTCAGCGGCATATTGGTTTTCAATTTTTACGACATGGTCGCACAAACATTTCCATGATTCCTCGGTAGACGACGTAAAAAACTGCAATATTTTTCAACGTCTTTTAATTTGAAACTAACGTTTCGATCTGTAGCAAATCGCTTCAAATTGGACCAAACGTTTTCTATCAGATTCAAGTCCAGGTGGTAAGGTGACAGTCTACAAATATCATGTCCCGCAGTCCTGACAATTGCCTGTGTATCTTGATTAAACAATAAAGATCCGGCTTTATGGCATTTTCTTAAAAGGGAATGTTTCAACCTTGCAGCTAACAGAATCTAGTTCACCCTTCACCACACGGACCGTATTTTTCCGAACTTTTAGTGGTTACTAAATTAGGCAGGAACTTTGATCCGTTACGACTGCNACATTACCGTGTCAAAGTGCCCCAAAGGACTTTTTCCACAAACAATTAATTTCATCAAATATATAATAATCTTGCAATCAAAAACATTTTAAAATACAATAATAACTACATTTACTTACCTTTAGTAACAAATAATACCAAAAACAACTAAGAGTATCCTCCTGAGACACAATTACATTTCACGTATTTTTTTTGTTGGCAGCGGCGCACGCCACTTCCAACACGTTAGTGACCGTTGAGGCCCAACGGCAACCTGGCGGCGAGCGGTGTCACAACTGTCATTCTTGTGAATGTCCTTGAGCATTCTAGTGATGTGCCGGACTGTGTAGCGTTTTGAGATATAGATACTGTACCAATGTGCCCCGTGAATCAATGTGCCCCCCCTCCCCCTACCAACCAGGCGTTGTCACCATTGATAAATTAATTTCATTGTGTAGAATTTCAATTTAAACATATACATACAATTCAATACAATCCCAGTAATAATTGATAAATTTTAATTGATTAACAGAATTTTTTTACCCCTACTTCTGCGGCCAAAAAATTC